GCAGCATCAGCATCAGCATCAGCATCAACATCATCAGCATCATCAGCATCATCAGCATCAGCATCAGCAGCATCATCACCATCATCAGCATCATCATCATCATCGTCCTCCCTCTCACGTCGCTCCATTCCTTTTCCTTATTAACAACTCCCTCCTCCCGAGGCCAGTCGGAAGGGCGGGCCGGGCGTTTCGCCTGAGACTTCCTCACCACTTCTGAGCCTCAATCTTAAAAACTGTCAACAGATTCACAGATGGAGGGTGGGTGGACTTCAAAATGTGACTCTCGCCTGAGCGCTGCGCACATCCTTCTTACTAACACATTGAGAGAGTTTCACGGATTGAGAGCGGGTCGTTTTCGAAATGTGGCTCTCGCTTGAGCGTTGCGCACATTCGTTTGAAAGCTTTCAAAAATTTCGCGGACTGAGGGCGGGTGGTTTTCGAAATGTGTCTCCCGCCTGAGCGCCGCGCAAATTCGATTGAACAACTTGCAAGAGGTTCACGGATTGAGGGCAATTCCTTTTCAAAAAATGGCGTTCGTCTTAGCGCCGCGCACCTTCGCTTTAAAGCTTTGCACGAGTTCAATTGGTTATCGTGTTGCACGATTCCGTGACCGTGACCGTAGGAGGTGAGCATGCACTTACAGCTAAGGTTGAGGGTTTCAATGTCGAGTACGAGTGGGTGGGGGCCTGGGCTACGTGGGACACGTTGCACAACAACCCCCGCCGCATCAAGGAGCTGAACGTGCAATCGCGGGAACTTTTGGCTCCGGCGTCGATGGGCATGAAGGGAGGAAGCGCCGGGAAGGGGATGCAGAAGGGTGCCGGGGGGCGCCTGGGCGAATAGGAAATGGCCCCCGGAAGTGTTTCACCATTGGCAGTCGGCCCTACTGCCATTATAAACCCAAATCGATTACGACTTCAATCAGCAGCATCGCTGACGACATGTACATATCCATGCACGTCGAGTTCTCGCATTGGCTGTGGGGGCCCTGGCTTTCGAGGTGGGCCGCACGGCACTGCATCCACAGATCCTCGAAGACATCAGGATGGCATACTGTCTGGGCCTGGAGGTGGAGACCCAGATTTTTGTGGAGACCGAGTGCAACCAGACCAACAGAGAAAGAGCGAAACCATCACAGACAGGCATAGCTACAGTCACACTGGTGCATCACATGATCCAGCAGAGCTTCATTTTCGAGCCCACGAGTCTTCCTGGGGAAGGTCGAGGCGCGCCTGCCGACCATGCAATTATCTACAACGCATAGAACCTGGAACGCCCAAGGTTTCCGCGGCGACTCGGTTATCAAGGTCGACGAGTTGTTGAAGATCATGGACAAATGGTTTCTCAATTTTCTTGTCTGGCAGTGCAGACTTGGACGAAAGATCGTATGCGGGTGTTGGCTTCATTGTTTCGCCCCGCATTCGCCACTCAAGGTGACCGCTTGGCAACCTGTTCTCGCGCGAAGTCTGGATCGATCGCGGCGCGGCATCGACTTCGAATTGGGGCAGCAATTTTTCCATAGACTTCAATACGTGGTTCGTCCCACCACCGGGCACTCCACAACGTATATTCTTGGAGATTTCGACGCCAGACTTGGCCGAGTGAAGGCTGGTGAAGAAGACATCGTCGGCCCGCACGTGTACAAGACTACGCATACAGATAACAACGAATCGCACTCAAACCGGAATCTTCTTATTGAACTGTGTGTTGCTTGCGACCTCACGGTGGCCAATACTTTCTTCGATCAGCCTGATCATCGAAAAGTATCGTACCGCGGTTTGGGTGTACCACCAATGGCAGATATAGGCGAAGGAAGTTTGGGACAGATTGACCATACATTGTGCCATCAAGACAACACCGCCACTATTCTTGATAGTTGGACGTGCAGAGAAGTTGCATTAAACACTCAACATTTTCTCACAGTTGCGAGCACCTCGATACAGTTCAAAGTGGAAGAATCCCGAAAGAAGAAGCGTGTCGACGAGGCGTCGTTGAAAGAGCATGCGACTCAGAAGGTGTTCGTGCGAGCCTTCACGAACACAGCTTGCGCAGACTAGCAAAATTGCACATTGGAGGAAGCCGCAGCAGATATGCATCAAGCTTTCCATGAAGCGGCATCGACTTTACCATACAAGGCCGAACAGCCCAGACAACCGTGGACTAGTCAGCAGACAATCGATTTGATCGCGGAACGAAATACTTGTCGCCGAACCGGGAGCTACACCAACGAAAAGCTCCTCAACAATATGATCCGCAAGTCTGGCAAGCAAGACCGCAAGACATGGCTGGAAGAATATGTGGGTGGAGGCGGATGGGACGCGGCGCGGTGCCTTCGCAAGCCGAAGCCGGTCAAACATGCAGCCATTAAGAAACCAGATGGGACATTATCCGATACGGCCGAACGGGCAAATATCGTGGCCGACTATTCCGAATCAGTACAATGGCAGGGCCGATATCCTGATTTACAGCCAGAAGCTCGCCAACCGCTCGGTGATACTTTACCCATACGCAAAGACGGGTTTACGATGGATGAATTGTCGAAGGTCTTACGGAAATTCAAATCTGGAAAAGCAGCGGGCCCCGACGAGATCCCCTCTGATTTCTGGAAAGCGCTTGTGTGTGATAGAAGCGAAAATACTGTGTTATTACGTTTGTGTCAGCACTGTTGGGATAAGAAATCTAGTCTGGACTCCTGGAGGCGAGCTAAGGTAGTTTTGCTTTTCCAAAAAAGGGGATACAGCTTTACCAGAAAACGACAAACCCTTTTCATTACTTTCGGTTGGATACAAGATTTTGGCGGCACTGGTACATCAGAGGATATTGCAAGGTGGTTCAAAAACACGCACGCGTGACTCTCAATACGGATTTCGACCAGGATGTGGAAAAGCTGATGCTTGTGATACGCATGATAGATGTTGCACATTCAAATGTGGATGGACGGATTTTGGTACTGATGCTCGACTGGGCAAAAGCGTTCGACCGGTTGAAACCAAACTCAATGTGCAAAGCTTTGGACAGATTCGGGTACCCTGCCGAGATAGTGGAAATGGTGCGTTCTATTTACTCGGCCCGCTTCTTCGTTATCCAAGACCACACTGGCACCTCTACGAAAAGACGGCAGAACGCTGGAATCGCACAAGGGTGTCCGCTTTCTCCATACGTATTCACAGCAGTCCTGACTGTCCTGCTGCACGACGCCATCGATTCACTACACCTGGACGAAGAGCCAGGATATGTGGTCACCAGGGATGTTGTTTAAGCCGACGACACTTTGCTAGTATCCCAGCACCAATCCAACCTCCAGAAGATGTTGAACGCTATCATTGAGGAGGGGCGCAATTATGATTTGGAGCTGAATTGGGGAAAACCATACAAATTCAAATTTCGCCAAATCAAAAGGTTCCGACGCCGAGTGGGAGTGATACTGCGCCGATCTGAAAGTTTTCCTGATTTTTCCACCGTGCCGGCCGCGGCCATCTGGGGTGGCGCGCGCGGGACAAGACTCGCGGGGCCCGAGGGCGGATGGTGGCGATGTCGCGAGGGCAGAGTCGGCGCGCCGATGGGCAGCCCAGCGCCCCGTTTGGCCAGAGGGGCCCAGTACAATGCAAGGGCAAAGCCTAGCCCCCGCCCGGGGTCGCGGGATCGGGTTCCCCTTCCCAATTTATTAAAATTCGGAATCCCAAACAGTGCACTGACAAACTTTGGTCACGCGCATCTCAGGGATGGAAACGGAAACACAAGATTTACGACAGCGTTGCTTTAAGCAAACTATTATACGATTTGGATTATGTGTGGTTGTTGAAAGCAGACAGATGCCGGCTCGGTGCCTTCCATTGCCGATGTTTGCGACGCTACTTGGAATTCCACATTCTTTCATATCACGGATCAGCAACGCAGACGTTCTCGACCAGGCTGGGGCGGAACCGCTATCGCAAGTTTTGGCCGGGAGACAAATTAAGCTGTACCAGAAAATTGTCGCATATGATCCTATTCTTTTAGTAAACCAAATTCTTTGCAACGGCGATAGGTCGCCGAAGAATTGGGCTCGCAAGCGCAGACGCGGACGACCGAGACAATAATGGGCGTCTTCAGTTTATAATGTGTTGCAACATGTTTGAGCAGGTGAGAAGATCTATCATCATCGTCTTCATCCGTCGTCATCTTCAGGTATGGCGTTTGTTCACGCCCGCGTGCTTCGAGTGCTTCGTGTGGCGTTTGGCCACACCTCTGTGCTTCGAGCGTTTCGAGTGACGTTTGGTCACTTGTATTTTTCCTGCCAACGCGTCCACCTTGATGCAAGGCTTCTGTCTGTCTGTCTGTCTCGTGTTGCACGATTCGGGATTATCAGGGCGCAATAAGTAAGTTGATTCGAAGTGTTGGAGTCCATGGAATACGATTCAGGATCGCCAACACGCAACGATCAAGATGACTCGTGGCGTTGAAGTCCTGAGCATGCTGTTTTGGCACGCTTCAGGATGTTCACACGGCCGTCCCCCAACGGGGCGCGGGCTATGAAGAGGGAACTTGGAGTGAGAGTGGATTCCAACAATGTTGACGAGTCTTGCGTTTGCACTGGTCCTCCTCCTCCACCTTTTTTCTCCTCCCTCGCTCATCCCTCGATCCTCCTACTCCTCCTCCTCTTCATCCTCTTCCTCCTCCTCCTCTTCCTCCTCCTCCTCCTCTTCCTCCTCCTCCTCTTTTGTTCTGCTCCTGCACATTTCCGTCTTGCTTCTGCTCCTGCTCCTCCTCCTCCTCCTCCGCCTCCTCCTCCTCCTCCTCCTCCTCCTCCTCCGCCTCCTCCTCCTCCTCCTTTTCCTCTTCCTCCTCCTCCTCCTCCTCCTCCTCCTCCTCCGCCTTTGTCTGCTCCTGCCCATCTCCGTTTTGCGCCCGCTCCTCCTCCTCCTCCGCCTCCTCCTCCTCCTCCTCCTCCAGATCCTCCTCCTCCTCCTCCTCTTCCTCCTCCTCCTCCTCCTGCTCCTCCTCCTCGTCCCTGCTCCCGCCTGCGACCACTGAGCGCCCGCGCCGCCGATGACGCCATGGGCGCCAATGGCCATGGGTCCTGCACTCACTGGCCTGCTACCCGTCCGCCCTACGGCCCATCCACTGGCATACTATCCTTCTTGCACTTCTGGCCATCACCCGCCTGCATGAGATCGCTTCCGCTGCTCTGCCTCGCATCGCTCGCCCCGGCTGCACCACGCGCACGCTCCTCTCCTATTCATCCTCTCTCTTCCTGCTCACTCCCCTGCCCCTTGGACACATCGGAATGAAGGGTGGCATACTTGCTTACACATCCGCGCTTGAACTCGTGAACTCGTGTGGGCTGAGACCAGGCCTCCTGCAGAGTTATCCCTCTCTTCCCTAGAAGAAGGTACAACAGCATAAACATAAACTTTCGATGGCCCGCGCGGATTTCTTGGATCTGCGCTGGACCCCTCCCTGGCGCGCGGAGCGGGTCAAGGGCGGCGACGGAGGCGCCGCGGGGGGTCCCAGCGCGGATGCAAGAAATCCGCGCGGAACGCCAAAGTTTTATGATTGCGGCGTTTTTCTCATTCGATCTCCCCCTGCACGGCACCGCCGCCCCCGCCGCCGCGGGGCCTGGCGCGGCGGTAACTGCGCCCAGCGGGAAGCCCGACAGCAAGCGGATGGGAAGCCGCTGGGCGTAGGTCGGGCATGTCCCCCTACTGGCGGATTTTGGACGAAAAACTGGAGATACCCCAAAAATGCTCAAAGATTAAAAATACTATAGATTCAAGACATACTCGAAACATCGCCCCCGGGCTATTGCTGACTATTTTGGAATATTCCTCCTGGGCCGGCGTGCGCGACGGAACGCTCCTCGAAGGGGAGGGAGGAGGAGGTGGAGGTGGAGGAGGGAGGAGGAGGAGGAGAGGAGGAGGAGGAGGAGGAGGGACAGGCCCGATGGAACACTGGGCCGGCCGGCGTGCGCGACGTCGGCGGGCCGCCGCCCTGCGGGGGCGCCCTCCGCCGCGCGCAGGGGCGGCCGACGTGTGCCGACGTGTGCCGCGGCGGCGCTGCCGACGCCGGCAGAGCGCGGGCCTCCCAGGGCTTGGCTCCTCCTCCTCCTCCTCCTCCTGCTCCTCCTCCGCCTCCTGCTCCTCCCTCCTCCCCCTCCTCCTCCTCCTGCTCCTCCTCCTCCTCCTCCTCCTCCTCCTCCTCCTCCTCCCCCTCCCCCTCCCTGGCCGAAGGATTGCACCCTGGCCGAAATCTGCAAGCGGGTTCCACCCTGGCCGAAGGATTGCAAAAAAAAAAAGAGGGATTGCAATCCTTGGGTTTTTTGTCAATCCTTGGGTTTTTTTGCAATCCTTCGTGCGAGGGTGTTTTTTGCAATCCTTCGGGTTTTGTTTGCAATCCTTGGTTTTGTTTTGCAGTCCTTCGAGTTGATGGGGGGTCCATAGATGGGGGGGCCGCGGGCATCGCGCAAGTGGGCGGCGTCGGTCTCGTCGTGGCCACGGCGGAACGCGGGCTCTTCGAGCTGCCCCCCAGGTCCCGCCCTCTCCGTTCCGCGCCGACCTGCTCGGCAAGCCCGCGCGTCCTGCGACTCTAGTTCACACGCGCACCATTGTGAAACGAGCCTGCGCGACCCCACCCCAGCGACGATTGCCGAGCCATTTCAAGCCGCCCCCCCGAAGACGGCCCTGACGCCCCCAAGAAGGTTCCAAGAGACCTCCAGAAGCCCCCAAGAAGCCTCCAAGAGGCCCCCGAAATCACCCCGATGCCCCCAAGAGCTCGCCGTGAGGCCGTTAAGAAGCATCCCGAAGGCAGTGGGATGTATCCAAGAGGATCCAGACCCACATCCCAGGCACAGCGGCGGGCAAAGCCGAACGCCGATGGACATCGCGGACGATTCCCATGCGATTTGCTTGCGATTCCTGTAAGATTATTGCAGGGTCCATTTCTTGGGCCCCATGGGATCCTTACAGGATCCCTTCAGACTCCTTGCTGGACCCTACGGGATCCCACTAGGACCCCTTCAAGACCCCAAGGCATCCCGACAGGATCCCTAAAGGACCCAGCGGCATCCCTGTAGGACCCCACGGCATCCCCTTAGGACGCTACGGAATCTCTAGGATGCTTCCTGTTCGTTGTGGAAACCCCTGCAGGTGCCTGTAGGACCTTCTGGAATTTCTACAGGATCTCCGCAGAGTCATTGTAAAACCCTACAGGGACCAAGGAATCCGTCGGAACATGTCGGGATCCTCCCCTGTCCTCTGGACTCCTTGGGGATACCTTGGCATTCGAGCTCCTTGAAAATACTTGAGCTCACGTTGGGTGCCCCAAGAACCCTTCGGAACCCTTGGGAATGTTTCGGGGTCATGCAGCATTCTGAAGTATCATAGCAAATTGGTCAACATCACGCGGGGCCCGTGGGCACCCCAAGGGGTCGCCAGCCATCCCGGATACTCCGCCGGAGTCCTCAAGAACTGGTCGGACTCCTTAGAGGCCGTCAAGGATTCCTTCAAATGATTCATGCGGATCCCTAAGGGTGCCTGAAGATATTTACGAATGCTTCGACGCCCCACTGCATCCAAAAGACGCCTCAGGAATCCTCCAAATTCTTCCCAATGACAAATCTGAAGAAGCAAAAAGATTATTTCGAACGACCGAAGAATCCTCGGGAATCCTTCGGGATCCTCAGGGCTCCTCAGGAATCCGTTGGGCATTCTTAAGATGCCTCAAGAATCCTGGGGACCCATCAAGAAAAGCGAGGACGCCGCAAGAATCCCCAGGGATCCTCGCGAACCCCATGTCCTCGCTGAGTCCGCAGGGATTTTCGGGCACAATCGGAAATCCTGGAGAATCCAGGGGACTCCGCAGACATCCTCGGGAATCACTGGTGCCCCCGAGAATCCTTGAGGATCCTTTCTGAGAATCCTGCGAAACCAATGGGGATGCTGGGGCATCTAAAAATGTCTTTGGGTCTGCGACAATCATCAGGATTCCTTCCGACCCCCGAGAACTCGATGCAAATGCAAAGGCGTCTTGGGTAATCCTCGGTAGTCCTGAGCCCCCCTTCGGGACCCGAAAGAATCTCCAGCCCCCCCCCCCCCCTTCCCCCCCTCACCCGGGCGTTCTCTCGGGGCGCCCGAGGGGGCCGCGGGCCCCCCGAGAGACAATGCAGATCGCATGGAGTCCTAAGGAGGCCCAGGAATGCTCAAGCAGCACCAGGCGCCCGACGGAATCCCCCGGAATCTTAAGACGCTCAACGCAATCCACAGGAACCCGCGGGACCCTCCACACTTATGCCCCCCCCCCCCCGCCCTCAAGGCAGGCGGAGGGGCCCCTCGGCCCCTCGTGCGCCCTGAGAAAGAGCCCGAAGGGACCCGAAGGAGCCCGGGAGAACCATCTGGAAATCTTGCGCTTTACCAGAAGACCTGATAAGTCCCACTGGGCTCCGCAAGACTCCTCCGAGAGCCTGAAGCGCCACCAAGGAACCCGAGAAATCCGTCGGCATCCCGAGGGCCCCGTTGCGACCCTGAGGAATCCGCGCGAACGATCAGGGACCCTCGCGAATCCTCAAGAACCCCCACGCGCCAATTGGGAGCCGTAGTCTCGCTTGGGAGTCTGTCGGAAACCGCGCGCATCATGAGGACTCGTGATCTGCGTAGACGAACCCAGGGAGACTTCAGGAATACTTGAGATCTCATGAGAACAGATCGAGAAGTTGTATGAAACCCGATTCTGAAGGAATCTGAGGAATCCTGCGGGGTCCGTTGGGCTCTTCTGCAAGGCTTGAGACTCTCTAGCACTCCTTCGGCGCCCTTGGAAGTCCTCAGGCATGCTCAGGATTATTGGGGAACCATTCAGGATGCAAGGACATCCTTGATTTCTTAAACATCATTCGACGTCCACGGCGGCCCCAACAACCCCTATGGAAGCCTCGGGTACCTTTAGAGAAATCCACGAGGAACCTGCGGCATCATCAGAAATCCATATGGATCCTCGGGGTGCGAAAGTACCTGCATAGACATCCGAGAGAAGCTTTCGGACCCCTCGCAAGTCCAGACAATCCCCCCCGAGCCCTGCAGAGCCCTCATGGAATCCTCAGGAATCATCAGGACTCCATAAGGGATATCCGAGGACCCCTTGAGGGTCCGAAGGAATCCTTTGGAAACCCTACGGCGTCCCCAGGAATCCTCTGGACTCCCATTGTGCATCTGAAATCACATACCTGAAGCACCCTGAGGCGCCCCCAGGATTGTCAGGAATCCTTGAATCCTAGAGACCCCAAGAGGCCCTAAGCCAGCCGAAATCCTAATGAATCCATCGGGATCCCCGGGAACTCTTGGGACTCCTAAGGGATCCGAACGGCCATGAATACCCTGGGAGGGGGGTCAAATGAATCCGAGGGGGGCCCGGGGCTCCAAGGGCCCCTGGAATCCTAGAATTTCGTTCTGCATTCAAAAGAGTCATCAAGAATCTTCCGAACCCTCAGGATACCATAAACATCCGAAGGAAACTTCCGGAACCCGAAGAAAACCTCAACCAACAAGGCGAATGACAAGGACTCATGAGTCACCCTGCGGAACCCGCGGAAATCTCACCAACCCCGCGGGACCCGAAGAAGGATTAAGGGACCAACGCATTCCTCAAGGATCCGAAGATCCCCAGGGGGTCGACATGATTCCTCATCGAGCACAGCGGTCAACAGATTCCTGAAGGATCGAACGGGATCCTAACCGATGAAAGCGAGGCGTTCAGGAGAGCTACGCACCATCGCGGGTTTTCAGGAAACCCACGCAGCCCAAAAGGATCCCGTGGAATCATGGGGAGCCCTCGGTAACCCGTCGGAATCCTCGGGGGGGGGGGGGGCTCAAGACCCCCAAGCAAGCAAGCAAAATGCTAAGTACGAAACGCACATGAGCACATAGCCACTATCACGTGGTATCGCAGTACTTGCTGACTGCGACACGCCACGCCGCGGCCGAAGAAACGGTGTCCTGCCACAGCGCCGGAAGGGCCTCCATACCCCCAGCTGCTTCGCAGGCGTGCCTGTAGACTTCCCGGGACCACGTTGCTCGTGGGCGCCCTCTCTTTC